TCATGTTGATGAATTCACCTTCACATTTCATTACCGAGCTTAAAATTCACCATCTTTATTAACTTATCACACATTTATCTTGTACGTAACTTTGATCTCTTCAGATCAAAGGAAATAAATAAACATCCCTCGATCGCATTACATCCACAAAAATTACCTCTTCATCTATAAACCCTGCAATTGAAATCGTCTGAAAAAAAAAAACATTTAAATAGTCATGATTGTTGTTAGTTGTCATTTTTCAATGGTTCTGAGAAATAGCATTGATTAATTTTACTCCTGTTTAAAAGGAAGATGTATCATCAATCGCTAAGTAAAAACAAAGTTTGCTTTAGTCAGAACACAATTTCCAAGCAAAGCTTTTCTCGTGCGCGTTGGTTACGGCAATACATTTTCTTCACGCAGGAAGCGGATGTCAAAAGAATTGTGGTCGTTTTCGGACACGAGATCCAAGGCCTCAGCCAAATAGCCAGCAACTCCAGTTATGTTCTAAGAGTTTCTGGATATGTTGGCTTATTCAACAAACTAGAGGACATCATAAAACTGGCCTGCAGCCATCAACAGCATCCTGGTAAGTTTGTTAAGCTCGAGCGAAACCTCATGCGGCCGGCTGGGGTGAATTGTTCACTGCCACATTTCCAAATAAAGGTGTTGGCGCGGTCGTCGGAGACGAGCCTCTCAGCAGTGTGGCCTGTATTCGAATCAAAGTCTTGTCTCAGAACTTTCTTATGGGGGCCTTGATTTGAACTTAAGCTGCGCACATGACTTGGTTCTTGATTCACTGAGATGGGTTGAAGCCAGGCTGCCTGTTTTGTCTTCCATCTTGTAACACTTACACGATAAATCGGAGAATCCGGGATTGGGTAAAATTATGTATCAGTATTTTCCATTTTTCTGCTTCTTAACTTAACTGCTAAAACTCAGAAACCAAAGGTTAATTATACTAAGTTTCTGTAATAACCACTCATTCATGTCGAATGTGTAACGTAACTAAACCTGAAGTGATAATATCAATTGCTAGTATCTGAGCTTATCCGGCTCTGATTTCATTTGAATGCAAGTGATATATCACCTGGTTG